GGACTAGCTCAGCCACATGGAGCCTTTGGCCATGGGGGTCATGTGCACCCAACTCCGGGGCCCAGGCCTGTTCCCAGCCCCGGGGGTCGCTCACCTCCTCCTCCCAGCGAGCGTTGCTCCCACGGGAGGAGGTTCCCTCCCAGCACAGAGTGCAGCTGCCCCAGTCCTGTCCTGGGCCAGGGCACGTGGTGGGGCGGGGACTGTCCCCCGCCAAGGGGCTGCAGGGGCAGTGCTGCTCCCTGCAGAGCAGCTTCCATGGAGGAGCGCAGCGTGTGTGCGGCCGGCGAGGGCTCTGCCGCGCTGGGCAGCGCTGAAGGGTGATAAACGTGGGCACGGCAGAGACAAGCCCTGCTGGCGTGCGTGGGGGTGGCTGTGGGACCCTCCCGTCCCCTGGCAGGGCACTCACTGCTCCTGCGTGCCCCAGGAGATGTAGTCGGGGCGCGTGGCCGCGTGATACTCGTCGATCAGCTGCTGCACTATCTCCCGAGAGTTGTCCAGCTCGTCGAAGTTGTCCTTGAAGATGTCCTCCTTGCGGAACTGCTCCAGGAAGGCCTCCCGTTTGCGCAGCTTGTCATACTGCCGGCACGTCCGCTCGAACAGCTGGAGAGCAGCATGAGGTCAGGGGGCCAGAGCTCCCCAGGGACCCAAGAGAATGGCACTAGAACCAGCAGGACTGACGGGACCTTGGACCAGACCTGAGCCCTGCTGGGAGCCACCCATCCCCTCCCCAGCATGGCCTGCCCTGCCTCATGACAGGCCTAGACTGAAGGGACATCAGGGCTGGGGCTGTGGGGCCCGGCGAGGGAAGGCACTCACCGAGGAGATGTTGGTGTGGTTTGCCATCATGAGTCCGCTGACACGGTGAGCAGACGGCAGGTAAGGGGACTTGCGGGACAAAGCCACCTGGATGCTGGCAGGGCCCCAGGGGATGAAGTTGGCCAACTTCCTCTCCCGGATCCGCTGCAGGCTCTTGTGAACCTGGTGGGATGAGAACAGTGAGGAGCAGCAGGGTGAGGGACAAAGAGCTTGGTCCCAGCAGACCCAGGAGCTGCTCCTCACAGGAGGCACGGTCGTGGGAAGGTGGATTTTGGAAGGCCTGTGGCTTTTCCATGAGACCAGAGCCCACACAGGAGCAACCTGAAGCCAGTTAGGCAGTGCCCAGCCTCGCCCCAGGGTCCCTGCACAGGCAGGGGCCGTGTCCTTACCTGGCCAGCCAGGCAATGGCCATCAGCACCTGAATGGCCGAGGGAGCTCACCTGCGTAGGATCCACCTCCCCTTGGATGATATTGAGGATGGCGATGTAGCAGTGGTTGGTCTGCCTGTCTCGTCCTGTGGACACCATCACGTTTTTAGGCTGCAGCAACCTTCTCATCACATCCAGGACTGTGGTTTTCCTCACGCTGGCCACCTGCACAGGCCAACCGGGGTCAGAGGGAGCAGGTGTGCTGTTCCCTGCCCTCCCGCTGCCCGGCACACACACATAGGAGCAGAGGGCAGTTGGACAGAGATGCCATTGCCCTAGGGATGGAGCCACATGCAGGACAGGGAAATCTCAACTCCACACAACAGGCACAGCCAGGCTGAGAAACGGAGCACTGGTGGAAACCGTCTGCCCCCACCACAGCAGGGACTGGGGGTGAAGCTCAGCTGATACCACAGTAACAAGGACCTGTTTCATGTTCTTGCTGTCAAACTTGGGTCCTGTACCACTGCCAAGCAGGGAGTGGTGAGGGTTTGACAGGAGAGGGGTCATTCCCCCCTGCACCCTCTCCCTGCCTTGCTCAGCTCTGAGCCACAGGCAGACTGGCCACTGCCATCCCTGAGTACTGTTGGGGCTTTGTCCAGCCGCCACTGGCCATGGGGGCCACAGCCAGGACCAGTACCCAGAGTGCCTGCAGCAAGGACGGTTGGGTGAGGTGGCAGCCCCTTCCAGCACCGTCTGAGCCGCTGGCTGAGCCCTCCCCACACTCCTCCCTGGGACGACAGATCACACACTGATACCCTTTTCAGAGCCAGCAGTTTTTCAGATTTGCTTCTCTGAGCAACATCCTGAGGAAATGCACACAGGGAGAAGAGAAGAGCAGCTGTTAGCTCCCGCCGGACTGCGATGTGCCAGCGCAGGTGAGCACCTCCCGAAACAGAACGGCCAGGGGGCACTGGCTGGAGATGAGCCAAACACAAGCAGCAGCATTCAATGTGCTGTGGGGTGGCAAATCCCCTCCCAGACACAGATTGAGCCCCAGGAAGGGGCTGATGCCTGGAGTCCACCGTCGGTTTTGGAGTGACAATGATCAAGTGTTTGGACCCAAATGGCCCAGGCCAGTGGCCCGTAGGGGTGACAGGAGCACTCTGCTGGCCTTGCTCTGATTGTTTTCAAAGGTGACTTTTGCCAGCACAGACCCCTATGATCTGATGAGCTGCCCTGATGCATGCAGCAGGTAGCCTGGCACAAGCACAACCGCCTGCTCATGTCCAATTCATTGCACACGTGGCTGTCATGTGGTGTGAGCACGCAGGCCTTGGATCTGGGACACATGGTGACAGCTCACACTGAGACATGGGACTGACAGATGCTACAAGGTAAGCGTGGCAGCTTCTCCTGCCCTCAGGGCTGGGGAGGAGTGCTTGGGGCTGCCTTACCGACTGGTCGGTGGTGAGTGGTGTGTACCCTGTCATGAGGAAGTGCAGCCGGGGCGTGGGGATCAGCGAGGCGATCAGCCCGATGAGGTCATTGTTCATGTACCCAGGATATCTGAGCGTGGTGGTGCTGGCAGACATGATGGTGGAGACCTGGGGGAGAGGACAGGTCAGTGTCCATGTCCCGGCGGGGATGCAGAGTGTGCTCCCAATACGCCTCATGTGGTCGTGGCGAGGGAAGCTGCAGTGCTCGGCAGGGCAGAGCTCTCACAGCTCCAGACCCCTGAGCCCACCCATGGAGCAGGTTCAGACTGAACTGAACACAGCAGGGAAGCCCCACACTGGCCCTTCTCACCAGCTGGTTGATCTGTGAGAAGGATGGGTTCTGAATGTGCAGCCGGTCTGTTGCGATCCGATTCAAGGCTGTGTTGTCCAGAACCACCTGCAAGAGAAGCCTGGCTGTGAAGGACCTTGGAAGCAGCTGAGGAAGGGCAGTCCTGGCCATGTGTCCCAGGGCACTGGTGGGCCAGCACAGGCCCAGAGTGCCACAGAGCCCTCTGTGCAGGTGGCAAGACACTCGAAACCATGAGCTGACTCATCTGCAGAGTGTAACCGACACCGTCAATGGAAGCTCTTCCCTCCCTCCTGGCTGTGCTCCCCATGCTCTCCCAAAAGAGCTCTGCCCCTGGGCCAGCACCGTGCAGCAGTGTCAGCCCCAGCAGAAATGCAAGTGTTGGCACTGAAACTAACGGGGGTTCCTGGGGACACCACACCTGTTCAGCCCTTCTGTTCAGGGTGCACTTGTTGCTGCACACGGAGCTCATAGGCACATGGCACTGCTGCAGCACCGGCCCCAGCATGGGCTGTGGCTCTGAGCCATGGGGACAGGGCTGTCACCCCGAGCCTGGGTGCAGAGGGACTCTTACCACACAGTCAGCATTCTGAGTCAGCCTTTTCAGCGTCAGCAGGGAGTTGTATGGCTGCACTACAACGTCGCTCATCTCGTCCTGGTTTGGGAATACTGAGTAGGTCTCCACCAGCTTCTTGGGATACCTGGTGAAAAGCACAGCCCTCTCAAGGGTTAACAGCACCAAGCCAGCACTTTCCCCTCCCACAAGCCGCCTCTGCTGTCTCCAGGGCTCAGGACACGATGAGTCACCAGAGCTGCAGCCAGAGTGGCTCCCAGGGAGGGAGAGAATGTGTCCCAGCAGCGCCTGCCCCAGCAGCACAGGAGCAGACTGCCAGAGGAGCTACAGGGAGGCTGAGCCATCCACAGGCTGATTAAGCAGCTGCTCACAAGTCTTTTCAAGAGGCTGCAAGCTGAAACAGGCCAGGATGGCAGCTCAGAGCGCATAGCTAGAGCCTCCCACCCTCCCCTGCACAGTCAGGGTGACTGCAGGCAGCTGCCTGATAAGGAGGGTGGAGGGAAGGCAGAGCTTGGACAACACGAGTCCAGTTTGAGAGCCTCTGCAGTCCCCAGGCGTATCAGGAGCTGTCCCCGTGCAGGCAGCGTGCCAAGGATTGCACGAGGCAGTGTTTGGGTGGGGGTGGTGGCTCTGAGTCAGCGCTCTCAGTGCTTGGGCAGGGTGCCCAGGCTGGGCCAGGCACTGCAGGAGGGGACAGGGCTGTGCTCACCTGTCATTCAGCCTCTCCAGGAGGTATGAGCCCAGCCCAGAGCCTGTTCCACCAGCGATGGAGTGGCAAAGCACAAACCCCTGGAAGGAGGCAGAAAGCAGGTGCTGAAGGTGCTGCTCAGCTCCAAAGCAGGCAGAGCAAAGCACAACATGCCATCCCTATCTGGGGGGGGCACTGGATCCAAATCCCTGGTGCACTTACTTCCAAGCTGTCACTGCCATCAGCCTCTCTGTCTATTATGTCAAAAATATCTTCATGGATCTTTTCTCCCTGCAAGAGAGACCAGTCCCGGTTTTGTTCCTTTCCCACAGAACATGGAGAAGAGCCGCTCAAGCCAAGACAGACTGTCAGTGTGGCCCTATGCCCAGGGTGCCCCAGAGTGCCAGTCCCTGAGGGAGATGTTCTTCAGAAACCGGGTACTGAGCCATGTCAAACCTCAGGCCTGGGGAGTTGCCCCATGTGTCACCCACAGCACTGGAGCGGATACCTGTGAGAAGCCACTGGCCCAGTTGTTCCCAGCTCCCCCTCCATGCTCTGACAGGTAGATGTTTTCCGGGTTGTAGAGGTTGGCGTAAGGGGAGTTGAGGATGGAGTGGATGACACGGGGCTCGAGGTCCAGCAGCACAGCCCGCGGGATGTAGTGCTCATCGTCCGCCTGCAACAGGAGCAGGAGGATC